AAAAAACACCCAGCCTGTCCTTGAGCTGCACTGGCCCTGAACGGCTTGCTGCAGAGTCTGCAACTGCGCCCCAGCCCCCCACCAAGCGGGAGAGAAATGACCGTGTGCCAGGGATCTGGCCTGGCTAGACCGCGGGAGCCATCAATGTCACTTTGGTCCTGTCGCCCCTCACCCTCAAGGCTGACCTACCTGTCCCCTCCCAGTGTTCTGCCACCGACACAGAGCAGCACACAGCCAACGCGGGTGAGGCCTGGGCACAACCCCCGTGCCTGGGCCGGGGCGGAGATCTGTCCTCTCCTCTCCCCCTTATACACTCAGGCACTGCATAACCGCATCCACCCTGGAGGAGAGCGCAGGCACGACCCCACGCTGGTGCGACAGAAAGTGAAACAGACACGACTGCAGCTGCAGTCCCAGCTCGGGGTCACCCTGTGACACACCCGACAGAGCTCAGGGGTGACAGCTGTGTCTAAGGGCTTCCACTCTTGACCCTGTCCCTCGGCTCCTGGGGGGGCCTCCGCTGGCTCCTGTTTGAGGGTGTACGCCTCCCAAGCCCGCAGGCCCACCCCTGGGGAAGGAGGGAGTGAAGGCTCCGGTGTTTAAAAATCAGTTCACAGATAAATGTGTCACTCTTCCCAGGGAATTCACAGTTTTGAGCGATTGTACGAAGAGAACACCTTAAGAGAAGGGAAGGGTGGCGACAGGCGCAGGAAGTGCTTGCGAAGCTGAAGCATGAATTCCATCTGCATCCGGGAAGGGACGGGTCAGGTCGGGGAACAGAGGACGTGCTAGGAAAACCAGTGAGATACAAATGAAGCCTGAAGTTTCCGTAATGGGACTATGTCAACACGGGTCTCTCTTTCAGCAGATGGAGAAGGCAATAGAGGGTGTGAAGTTGGTGTCACCTAGTGAGAGGCATCAGGACCTCTGCATTAGCTTCGCAAGTTTCCTATAAATCGAACACTGTTCCCCAATTAAAGCCGGTCACAGCATACTGCGCCCAGAACAGATCAGCAACAGAAACCGGAGGGAAGGCCCCGCTCTGAAGCGCAGAGAGCAGACCTGGGTGAGGGGAGGGTGCAGGCGGCCCAGGGCCTCTGGCCACCTTGTAGGGCTCTGGTCTGTGGGGGAGGGCAGTAATGGGGAACCAGGGACACCCGAAGGCTGCATCAGGCCCCTCCCAGCATGCCTCGGGCCCTGGGGCAAGGGCAGCCTCTGGTTCGCAACTGCATGAACCAGCAAAGCAGAGATGACTCAGCATGTGAGTGAGTGAGAGGAAGCGCTCTGTTGACCCACATTATGTCCCGGCCTACAGGCAGGCCCTCCCCGCTGTGCCCCTGCATGGGGATCACAGCACACAGTGGGCTCTGTGTCCAACCCGACTCCTAGGGCTCCTCCCAGCTCGGCTCACACGTCCGTGTTCCCGTCCAAGCCCACGGCTAAAGGCGCAAGAAAAAGAACAGAAGGTTGACTGCTTTACCTAAGAAAC